AACACAACACAACACAACACAACACAACACAACACAACACAACACAATACAATATAACGCAACACAACACAACATAACACAACATAACATTTTATTCTTAAATTTTATCTTTATCTTTTTCTCTTTTTTTGTCTATCTTTGTCTCTGCCGTTTTTTTATCTTTTCATTTTTATATTTATCACTTCCTTGACTTTGATTCAGATCTTTATCTGTATTCGTTTCTTTATCTAAATATTCACTCACGACTTTGTTATTATATTAAGTACCTTCCTCTTTGTATTTATGTTTAGATTTCCTTACTTTTATTTTAATCTCGGTATTTATCCCTTTCTTCTTCTACATAATCAACTTTAGCTTCTTCCTTGTTTGAGTCTGAGGCCCAATTTCAGATGGTCTACTTAAGTAGAGATTGTTGATTAACTTCCGCAATTAATTTTCAGATCATACATTCAATCTGCCTTTAAATGACCAATATTGGCTATTTAAATATGGGATGTGCAACCCTGTGTTTGTACCAACCAACCAAGACTGATTTGTAGGCTGTTTTATCAATCTCACCAAATCCCACCAAAAAACAATCAGCTGATCAGCACAAAATGTAAACAAACAAGCAAATGCAACAACAATTTCAAGGAACAAGCAGCAGCGCTGCCAATTGTTTGGCATATATAAACCAGGGCTGCATATTAACGTTAATTTTATCAATAAACGAAAATACAAAATCGTTTTGGTTTTTTACATCGATAACGTTAGCATTATGTGTCATATGTCAACAAAAATTTTGATTCGTTGATTATCAAAAAAAATATCAAATTGTTTCTGCTGCAAACATAAAATTTAATAATTGCGGGAATATTGGGTCGTAGGGAAGTAGGCGAATTGGGGCGATCGTGCTTTTTGGTTGGAGAGGGGCGTGCAAATTTTGCCAAGCGAAATTAAAAGGTGGTCAGAAAACATAAGGAAGCCTTTGAAAGGCTTCAGGACAAGCAAGTGCAGCAGCAACAGCAGCGAAAATTCTGACGACCCAGCAAGAAAAAAAAGTGAGCTTGAGCTAAGCGCAAACGACGTGAAAGATATTTGGGAGGGATTCGTTACGGAATGCGGTGTAGCCTTAAGATTTTTTAATACCAACACTTTTCAAAAGTTATTTACGACAATATGTCGATAATTTAGTTTGAACAAAATTAGTCGCAGTAATATAACAACACTAAAAAATGGCATAATATCTATGAAAATTGACAGTGCCCAGCGGCTTTTTCGTAACGTAGTATGCTTAAATGCGCAATATGGAGAAATTACCATTAAAACGTTGGCAGTAACAAATTTTTGTGAAAAACACACCGCAAGAAACTTAAAAGAACTAATTTTGAAAAGTCTAGAAAGGTTTTTGTGAATAATTACTTGATATTAAAGCATTAGCGGTTTTTAATTTTAAAATTAATTTGCATACATACATACATACTTAATTACTAATCTAACTTTTGTTGAAAATACAACATGCAACATTTGTTTACTTATATGTATAACTTAATAAATTTCAATAGATATGATATCACAATTAGTCAATATATATCTAATGACTATAGGTCAGGTTTGAGTGATGATATCACTGAAGCAATATTGATGTTACGGCTCAATTAGTTTTCGCATAATTTATTAACAGTGTTTTGTTCACTATTTGTTAATTATTTGTTAATTATTTAATAAAAATAAATGGCATAATTCTACGTACTCCTACATACATTTTGCTTACAATTTTCTTCTTAATTATTGAAACAAAATAACTATTGATATTTCTTTTTTGATAAGCAACGAAACGATTTTTTTGTAACATTTTTTGATAACTAACGAAACTATTTTTCTTTTCATATTTTGTTTATTGATAATGAGCAAATGAAGTTTTTTGATAAGTTTTTTTTTTAATGAATAACGAAACGAAATTTTTTTGTGTAGTTATGCCGCCCTGATATAAACAAAGTTTATCTGAAACCCAACGAAGGTTAAATGGCATTTAAACAACAATCCACAATTAAACTTAAGTGCCGTTTATATATTCATTTGAAATTGGCCCTTAATCTAGTAATCTACATACTAGGGCATTCAATCCCGAAGCATTTTAACTATCCCGGGATTTCGGGATGCAAAATTCTAGTCCTGAGATCCCGGTATTTTCCGGGATTTCGACTTAATCACAACTTTTGCATTTAACAGTAGGTTCGCCTTTTTTAAACCACACAGATTCATTGTCACCGTTTTTGAGCTTACAGGGATCATAATGCACCTTACTAAAAGGGTCCGTAATTTAATACTAATATCTTCAGTAATTCAGTTTCCACAAAACGGCATCAAAATAAAATGAGGAACAATCTTCCACACTGTAAAATTTGTTGTGTTTTCAATTGGTACCAGATTTTTCGTTATTAAACAGTTCTTGCACAAAATGTTTGAACAAGTATAGTTATTCAGGAAGGGTCCTGAAATTCACGCCCAAGTGAAAGAATTTTTTTTTGGCGTAATCTCCTTTTTCATGTCAAATGAATTATTTCTTTCGTTTTCAACATCTCTTTTATTCGGTAAATGACTCAGTAAAAATCTCAGGATCCCGGAACTATAATCCCGGGATTTCGGGACATGGATTCTGGATCCCGGGTTGAATGCCCTAGTACATACATACATACATCGTATTCCTAAACTGTTGCTAAGCTCGTTTCTGTAATTCAGTATCAATATTAAAGATATATTTAGGAGGCATTTCCGGCCCAAGCATCTACATTAGACTGCATCACTCCCCATACATAAAAGAATCGGGACTGTTTTGTCATTGGAATTATAAAATCTATTATATTTTAAGTCGTCCACCAAAATATTTCGGAAAAATATTAAGATTTAAGCGAGCTGGATCGATTTGGAAATACCTCCAAAAATGGAGTTTTTTATGAATAAAAATAGTTTCTTAAAGATGTTTTTTGAAAAAATCCCCTCAAATGACAAAACGGTTTCAGCTTAAAAAATTTACATAAAAATATTAAAAAAAAATTTTTGAACAGAATCATAATAATGAGATTTTTAACGCTGTTTATATTTTTTCAAAGATTGGTATAAGAAAAACTTGAATAACTGAACCTAAACTCTTCCGATTTACACTTGTGAGGTATCATTGGAAGATATTTTCTCACTCTTTTTATTTCTTTGCTAACATGCTCATTCAACGGATGAAAGTGAAAGGTAGGATGAACGAACATCATTCAAAGTTGAATTAAGATGTGTTGGTAGTTGAAAAAAAAAATTGGGACACGAATGACTTTTTTTGCACACAAATAAAAATAGTGGGAAAATACCTTTCGACCGAGATCCCATAAGTCTAAATCAGAATAGTTTTTACCCAGTTATTTAAGTTTTTCTTAAATCAATCTTTGAAAAAAAGTAAAAAAAAACAGCATCAGAAATCTCATTATTACGATTCCGTTGAAAAGGGTTTTAAATATTTTTATGCAGAATTTTTCAGACCAATCTGTTTTGTCTTCTTAGGGGACTTTTTTCAAAAAGTTCTTTAAGAAACTATTTTTGTTCATAAAAAACTCAATTTTTGGAGGAGTTTTCAAATCGGTCCAGCTCGCCTAAATCTTAATATTTTTCCGAAATATTTGGGTTGACGTCTTAAAATATAATAGATTTTGTAATCCCGTCGGGAAAACCGTAACTTTTTGTGGCGATGCCGTCTAATGTACATATGTACATAGAATATGCCCATACGTACATAGGCATAAATCACGAATATTGGAAAATATTTGAGGTACTCTATTTATATTTTAGACAAAAATCTGCTAAACGTATCACATTAGTACGAAAAGTCCTTCTACTTATTTTAATTTGTTCCATTAAAATTTGTTTGTAGGTACGGGCTTGAGGAGTGTTTTGGACTACCCTCTGTGTAGTGTCAGATATAGAGAGGCGCGATGGAGGATATACCATGGGCCGGAAAAAGTAAAATTTCGGTTAAATTAAATTACCAAAAACGTGAAATTTTAAAAGAATAGCAACCGTTTTTTTGTACATTTTAATTTTAAGTCATATTCACTTTTTACGCATGCACATGATCTTTTATAAAAAGTAAGAGATAGGGTATTTGCATAGTAAAAGCGGTCGAAATTATTTGGTGTGTTTTTCTGCTAAGTAGTAAATGAAAATACGTCATAATTAGTTTATATGAGAAAGAACATAATACACTTCTTAGAATCATTTTTGGTGCATACAAATGTATGGTCGATTATTTGACTGGCAACGTTAGATTCATATTGTATTTTTTGACAATATGAATC